ACAGGACAGAGTAGAACTGCCCCATAGGGTTTCCAAGGCTGTAATCTTTACAGAAGCAGACTGCCACATCTTTCTCCTGCAGAGTGGCTGGTTGGTTCGAACCGGTGACCTTTCAGTTAGCAACTGAGCTCTTAACCACTGCACCACCGGGGCTCCTCTCAGCACCTTGGCACTCAGGAATCCACTGCAGTGTTTCTGCACGTGTCTGTGGTCCCTCCAATTTTTGAAACTATTACATGAAGAGCTCGGTTCCACTGAGCTGAAGCCTGCAGTGCTGGCGTATTGGACTAAAAAGCACTCCCTGCCCTGTGCTGATGGCCCCACACCTGGCACTCACTCTCCTTGGTGAGAGAGGACGGGGCCCTTTGCCTTATGGAGAAGTGCTCCCTGCAACCGCTGAGGTTAAGCTCTGCTGCTCCTCTTAAGATGTGGGGATGCGGAGCTGAACTAGGTGGGACCCATGTGGGGGCAGTGGCCGGGGCACTCAAAAGATCTTCCCTGAACACCAGGTGACTTTAGAAGAAAGGAGATTAAGTGAGACCTGGCTTCAGGGAAGGCCCTGTGTGTCCACCTTGGGATATTTTTTAAAGGAGAGAGCACATCTACTAGAGCTTTTCTGGAAAAGGAGAAGCAGGAGACGGGATAAAGACGGTGCCAACACTATCTCCTATTCCTCCAACGAGACACTGAGGCGTGAGAGGTGGAGCCTCACAGGGACTTGAAGGTTGGAAAATTCTGATGCCCTGGTTCTGGATTCAATGCTTCTCTTTCTCTAGGCTTTCCCCCACCCCACCAGGGTGGCAGGTGAGGGTGGGGCTGTAGTACCTGCCCTGTTATAGGGAGAGGGGCTGGCACTTTTGGCATGGAGCATTGACTCAGCTATCCCACCTGGCAAACTGGGGAGAGTGGGGCTGGGTGATGGGTCTTCCAGAGACAATGATGAGAGCCCTCCGTAGGCCTGAGGCCCTGTCTCCTGCCTCCTGCCTGCCTGCTTTTGGGCACTTACAGAGGAGGCTTCTAGTTCCCCACAGAAGATGCTTGTATTCTGTAATACACCAAACACACCATGCTGGCTCTTGCTCCTAGGACTTCATACATGCTATTCCTCCCTCCCACCTCTGATCCTTTCTCCTTAGCTTTCTCCTCCTCTCCCTCTGGGACTCGGTGTAGACATCCTTTCCTCCAGAAAACACTCCTACCTGCCAAGGCTAGGTGGGGTACCCCTTCTCTCTGCTTCCCAGCCCCCTACACCTCCCCCGCTGTCACTGAGCTGCAATCTCCCGTTGGCTTTTCTCTCTGTCTCTCCCACTGGGTTGTAAGCTCCATGAGGGCAGTGATGTGTCTGTTCAAATCACAGTATCTCCCGTTAAATGCCCAGCACCGTGCCTAGCATACAGTTGTTGCTCAGGAGATATTTATTGAATGAATGAATGAAAACTAAACGGGGCCAAGACACCAGGGTAAGTGCCTCCCAGTTACCCAAGCACCATGTCCTTTCATCTCTGCCTCAGTAACACCTGTCACGGTGCTTGGCACATAGCACAGGGTAAGTAGGTCTGTGGAGCAGTTCTTCTCTGCACACATGGGGTCGCCATGAGTTGGAATTGACTCCATGACAACTAGCAACAACAACAAGTAGGTCTATGCTGTTTCTTTCAATACAACCTACTGGATGCCACTGAGCTAAGACAAAGGGGCGACGCCTGGAGGAACAGATGAGTCTAATACAGTATGGTGGCTCTGTGACAGTAGCCATAGTAAGGCCCAGGCTGCTCAGAGCAAGGAGGAATGAATTCACTGCCTGGAAGATGATGGGAAGCCTCCTTAGAGACCGTGATTGTTAAGCTCTGTTTGACGGATGACATGGGGAGTGGGGAAAGGTATTCCAGGCAGAGGGAACAGCCTGAGCAAAAGCAAGGAGGTGTGAGAGAACACACCCTACTCGTGGATTTACTCAAGGAAGTTGAGTCAAGTACTCTCTCATCCCACACGTTTCTGTGTCCTCTGCCATCTGGAGTCAGTGGCACCATGCTGTCCTCTTCGACTCAAGGACCCTGTGGTCCCTGGTTGGTGGCTCAGGCTCTAGAGGACATGCAGATCACAGACATGGAGGCTCCCAGATTATCTCACACCTCTCGGCAGCTGATGCCTGAGAAGCTGCCGGATGAAACTGGCCTTTCTCCCTTCCCCGAGGGCTTCTTGTCCCTCAGATGCCTGATTCTTAGTGAGCTGACCAGGAGGAGAAAGAAAACAGTGACAGTCCAAAGAGGCCTCCATTGTTCCCCTGGGAGTGACTCATGTCCCCACTCAGCCAAGCACTTCCCCAGTGCTCAGCTCTTGCTGACTCACAGTAGCTCAGATCACAAGCCCTTTTGGCTTCTGTGCCTCCCTCCCTGCTGTGAGAAAGTGTATGCTCCCTGGGCCATCCGCCCTCTCCCTGCTCTGTGGTGCCAGGCCTCTGTGGGTGCCTGAGGCAGGCAGGCAGGGGCCAGGTGGGCAGGGACCAGGTGGGCAAGCACCCCTCGAGTCTGGCAGACACCAGGGGCCTGTGTCCCTGTAAGACCGGGGTCTCCCCTCAGTGTCTCTCCCTCTGCAGGGGAAGTGACAGAAATACTATTTGGTGGGTGGTGCTTTTTATTATGGGCGTGGGTGTGGGGTGTGGGGCAGGCATGAGTGGCAGCTTCTAGCCTGGCCAGCTCCTGGTTTCTAGACAGAATTCTGCCTGTGGTCCCCAGGAGCTGGGGGGCATGCAGGGTGGGGACACAGCGAAGAGCAGGTCCTTGGTGAAGGAGGTGTGGCCTCTAAAGGGGCTGCCACCTCTACTTCCAGCGCCCGGTAACTTTGGCCTTCCCACAGGTCTTGGAGCTGCAGGGGAAGAGGACTCAGTCAGATGGGGGACACAGGGCAGAGGAGCAGGTCTCTGTAGTGGGGGGCTGCTGGGGGTCAAAGGGAGCAGCCAGGGGCAGAATAGGGCAGTGGCCTCAGGCCCCACACCCACTCCTCACTGGCCAGCAGTGCCCAGGGCGTGAAGAAGAGGGAGACTCAGGCAGGGAGTCTGAGAGGAAGGCTGGAGCCGAAGGAGAGTAAGAAGGGATGGGAGTCCACGGCTGTCAGAGGCCCTCAGAGAAGGGGTAGGAGGGCCAGGAAGGGAGGGAAGGAGGAGGCAGGGGGAGGGGGGCAAGGAAGGGCTGGACTCAGGTACTTACACTTTCTGGTTATCATTGATCCTGTTTCGGAGAACATTGATCTGCAAGAAAGTGGGAAAGAAAAGAGCAAGGTTGAAGCTCGTTGGGCTCGGGCCCCAGCTGGGGAGAAGGGGACGCAGCGCAGCAGTGGAGGAGGAGGAAGAGGAGGAGGAGGCAGAAGAAGGGCCATGCCATGCGGTTGGAACAGTTAAAAGTCAAGAGGGGCCCAGGTTCCTGGAGGCAGAAGCCAAGGAGAGGCTTCTTGGCTGTCCCATTGGCCTCTCACTGTGGGGTCCCAGGGCCACAGCAGGCTCAGGATGAAGGTCCCATAAGGTGGGCCTCCTGAGAGCTGGAGACATGCAAGGCTGAGCACCTGTGTGTGGGCTCCAGCCCAGCCTGAGACTACTCTCTCTGCCCCACCCTACCCCACCCAGCTGTCCACTCCATGCCCGAAGCTTGACCCCTCGAGGCACAGCACCGTATCTTCGCCAAATCTGTGCCCTGTAGGCCAAAGGCAGAGTTAAGTGTGGAGCCAGAGGACAGGTGGAAGGCACATGGCCCAGAGAGACCTAGACAATTGTTCGTACCTGTGGAGCACTTAGTGGGCCCAAGGCTCTGTTCTAAGCACTTTCCCAAATATTCACCCACAGGATTGTAGTGCAGGCTTAATAAGTTAATACATGTAAAGTGCTCAGAACAGTGTCTGGAACATGTACGTTGGCTATTCCTATTTTATTTATTATTATTATTATCTCTGTAATCCTAACAATGGCCCTGGTTGGTGCAAATGGTTAATGCGATCAGCTGCTAACCAAAAGGTTAGAAGTTCAAGTCCACCCAGAGGCACCTCAGAAGAAAGGCCTGGCAATCTATTTCTGAAAAATCAGCCAATGAAAACCCAATGGAGCACACTTCTACTCTGACACATATGGGTTCACCAAGAGTTGGGGCAGCTTGGCAGCAACTGGGCTAATGCTCACAGTAACCCTATGAGGTAGGCCCTATTGTTATCCTGGGATTTAGATGAGGAAACAGAGGCACAGATAAGTTAAGTAACTTGGTCACACAGCTAGTAAGTGGCAGAGCCAGAACTCTGACCCAGGCAATGTGGCTCCAGAGTCCATGCTCTTCATCACCATGTAACACTGCCTCTCTCACTACTGGGGGGAGAGCCAGCCTGTAGCCATGGGGGCCTGAGCCAGGCTCAGGGAAGGGCCCCTTGGACAGGGAGGTGAGGTTTGGCAGGAGAGCTAAGTGGACCCTCCAGGGAAGACGCAATCCTCCTTAACCAGGCCAAGAGGCCTGGCGGACAGGGCTGGCTTCAGGGTCTGAGTATATTAACAGGACCAGCGTCAGTTCAGCTATTTTCCTGCCTCATGTCTGTATGCCTGAGACCCCCATTCATGCTCCTGGGACCCTGCAAGGCTGAGGGCTTGAGGCCCAGCCCGCCTGTGTGCACACTGGATGGAGTGGCTGCATCTCTGGTGGCCCTCTCTGCCAGGTGCCCGGCTTTGTGAATCCGGGTCTTCCCACGTGGCTCAGGGCAGCTTAGCTGCCGCCTCTGCTTCCAGGGGTGTCTGGCTAGCAGGAAGGAAGACCCCGGGGCTGGAGCCCTAGAAAAGTATCTCTGCTCAGCCCTGGCAAACCCCCAGGTGCCCCCAGCAAGCAACGGCATGCGTGGTGGGCACTGACCACTGCTGGGCTGGAGGTAGATTGAAGGAGGGTAAGGGAGACTGGGAAAGGGGCCTGACCGGCAGCAGGAGCATGAGAACCAGTCAAACCAGGAGGAGCCAGGAGAGCACGCAAGGGGGGCTTGAGGGGGCAGAGGAGGAGCAGCGTGCAGCTCACTTCGTATTTCTGCTGCTTGAACTTCTCCTGCAGGTCAAACTTCTCGGCCTCCAGGTTATAGATGCTCTGCCACAGTTCCTTGGCCTTCTCTCTGTACAGGCCAAGTGGGGGGAAGGGAGATAAGGAAGGGCCCCCATCAGGCTTCATCCTGGTCCTGACTCAGCCCCAGGGACCCCAGCCCTCCTCCTTGCTCCAGGCCTGCTGAGGAAGAGTGCCCCAGCCCACCCCAAGGCCTGGCCCAGCCTGGGGTCGGATGGAGGTGCCCACCCTCAGGAACGGACACATGGACCTGCCAAGGACAAAGCTCTGGAGATGAGGAGGAAGGGGAAGAAGGCCCGGCAGAGAGCACCTAGCTCAGTCTCCTTCCCGCCACCACTGTGCAGATGGGGAAGTTGATGCTCAAGGAGGTGAGGGGCCTGCACTGTTCCCTTTCCCTATGAGCGAAGCACAGAGTGGAGTTGGCTCACGCCCACCTCCAAACATGCTCTGGGAAATGTGTGAGGGGGTAGCACCCCCTGGTGGTCACAATGAGAATGTGCCTTCTGCCCCGCCTCCTCCCGGGATGGACACTTGCAGGCCCTGAGGACCACCCCTCCCGGGCCCACCTCAGCTGATCTTCATTCAGGTGGTCGATGGCCAGCACCTTCCTCCTCTCAGCCAGAATCTTCTTCTTCTTTTCCCTCTCTGTCTGCCTCTTCCCACTCTTCCGCTCCGTCTGGAGGGGGGTGGCGTAAGCAGGGGGAATTGGCCAGAGACCACCCCCTCCTCATCCCCCAAGCCCGCCTAAAAACCTAATGGGAGAAGGACCTTGTTCCTGAAAACCACCCCCTACCCCATGCACACACCATCAACTGTCTGGATACCCCAGAGAAACTGAGGCAGGGGCAGGGAGGGTCATTCTGACCTCTTCCTCCTTTGCCTCTTCAACCTCTGCCATCTCTCTCCAGGCTCGCTCCCTCGCACCCAGCCCCATATCCACACTCCTCCCCTCCAGCAAGGTGCCCTCCCCTCCTGGGATGCTCCCCAAAACCACAGGGAGGAAGAGAGTTTGAGGTTTTGGTACCCACCTGGGCCTGCAAAGCCAGGAAGCCATGAGAGAAAGACCAAGACCACAACAGAGACACACAGAAAGCGCAGGGCACAGGGCAGAAGACAAAGGCAAAGAGAGACACAAGGAAGAAGCAGAAGATGATTCAGATGCTCACGGTAGGCAGCCTTGTTTATCAGGACGTGAGTCTGGGGGTCTGGAACACGGACTATTTGGTAGCAGGGCCATGCCAAAGATTAGGCTGGTAGGGTCACCATGGGGGCAGAGATGGCGTGGCTGGCCTGGTTCTCAGCTGAGGACTTTGGAAATCTAAGAAAATGTTCTGGCTCCTCCATCGACAGAGGAAATCGATTTTACATACCCCATCCGCCCTTGAGAGTGGAGTATCTGGTAGGGGTAGGCCCCAAAAATTAAGAATTAAGAGTGAGTTCCCAGGAATGAACACCACCTCGCATCTGCATAGCACATAGGTGCTTTTCACGTCGGCTCATTTGATCTTCTCAAAGCAAGCAGGGCAGGCAATATTAATCTTGTTTTACAGATGAAGAAGCTGAGGTTCTGATAGGTTGCATATGGCCACACTAGAAACAGGACTCTTCCAGCTGCACCTGGCCACCTTGGGGACTCCCTGGCCTGGATGCAGCCCAGGGTGAGGTGAAGCATTGGTGCTCCAGCCTCTGGCTGCAACCTTTGCCCCAGCTGGCTCCTCCTAGTGGATGCCACAGCCAAGCTAAGAGCCAGCTCAGGGGCTGGGCAGAAAAGGGGCCTCAGCATCCCTCCCACAGCAGCTGAGAAGTTCTTCCTGGAATCCAACCTAAAGTCTGTCTGCTGCAATGGATACCTCATTCTGCACAGATACACCAGGACTTCCTGGTGACCACTGCTGCTCCCCTGCCTACCTTCTGGATGTATCCTCCAAAATGCATCAAGTTGGACAAAGCCTTCTTCTTCCGCGCCTCATCCTCTGCCTTCCTCCTGTTCTCCTCCTCCTCTCGCCGGGCCTTCTCTTCCTGATTTGCCGGGAAGAGGAAGAGGAGAGCACACTGAGGCAGGAGGGGGACAAACCCTGATTCTGAAGCTGGCGATCTTTATGGGTGGGCTGAGCTTTCTCCCCACTGGGCAAGGAGCTTTCAGAGGGCACAAGATGTGTTTATTGAATGAATGAATGAGGTTCTGGTCCCCAGTGTGAAGTCACATCGTCCTCTCAAGCTGGGATATTCCCCAAGAAAGCCTATTGCTTGGGAAGGGCCTCAGCAGTAGCACAGGAAGAGGGCTAGGGGACCCTCAGTTCCTGGGTAGTTTGGTCTGGGGAAGGACTGAGGACTAGAGAGTCTTTAAAATACTAAGTTCACAAGGATCCAGACATTGTCCATCTGGTTCACAAGTGTAATGCCCGGCGCTTAGTAGGTGTTTGATGTCTCTTGACTGAATCAATATCTATGAGTAGAGGGGGGACTGGGGAGCTGCAGGGGTCTCCCTAGGCCAGGCAGGAGCTGGGGGATCACTCACAGCCAGGCGGGTCTGACGCTCCTTCTCACGCTCATTCCGGATGCGCTGCTGCTCCGCGCGCTCTGCCCGCCGCTTCTCCTATGGGGGGAGGTGCATATGTATGACGGAGGGGTCTCAGAGGTGTGGAGGCCAGCGGGGAACTTTCCCTCACAGGAGTCTCAGGGCAGTGGTTGCCCACACCGAGAGGCACAGTCGAGGCCTATCCTCCAAGGGCCAGTTCCTCGGGCATAGGCAGGGGCACCTGCTGCACAGGTGGGCCAGCGAGAAAATCATCCTGGTTAAGGAAGGATGGCCCGCTCTGGGGCATGTGAGGATGACCCACCTCGTACATTATTCATAGTGGAGTCTGAAACAATTTGAACAATGTCAAGCGGGCTACCCCTGTCTGCCACAGTGTTGCACCCCCGCCCCGGCCCCAGCAGCTGCTCTGTGCTCAAAGACAGCCCAGTCCTCAGCTGCCAGCCAGAGCAGCACGTCTCTGGAAGGCAAATTTGGTGGAGAAAAAATAAAAGGAATAAAGGGACTGCCCAGTCCTCCATGGGATGATTTGTGATTTCACCCGTATCTTTCCTTCATTAGCGTGGGGAGCTGTGCTCTCTGGGAAGGAGGCAGGGGGCAGGTGGACAACAGGCCTTTGTGACTGGCCAGCCATTCCATAGCCAGGGCCTGGGTTAGGCCCTGTGGGGCCCAGAGATGAATCAGACTCAGCTCCTGCCATCAAGAAGCGTCCAGTCTGGCAGAGAGAGAAGACAGATACCCAAGACCAGCGTGCAGGGCAGAGTAGGAGCTTGCTGGGAGAGAGGCTTAAAGTGCAGCAGATCCTGATGGGGAGAAACACCTAGCAGAGCTAGGGACCCCAGGGAAGGCTGCCTGGAGGAAGTGGGCCTGAGGAAAGGGGGTAGAGGGCAGGAGCATTGCACTGGGAGATGGGACACCTACTATCCTGTCTTTGAGCGAAATGAGCTCCTCCTCCTCCTTCTTCCTGTTCTCAAAGTGAGCCTCAATCAGCGTCTGCAACTCGTTCAGGTCCTTCTCCATGCGCTTCCGGTGGATATCCTGTGGGTGGACCACCAGGGGTCAGAGGCTGCCACACCCAAGTCAAGGGGAGAGACATGATGGGCAGGCTAGACACCCACTGCTCAATCCAAAAGGCCTCTGGCAGGGCCTGGGCGTGGCCGGGGAAGGGGCACGTGGGGCCTGAACCCAGGAACTGCTCAGGGGCTGGCGCCCAGGCTGGCTGTTGTAGGCACCATCCTGCCTGCCCCCACAAGCCTACAAGGTCTTGTCAGGGGTCCTTGTGACCACCCCCGTCCAGGCCTGCCCTCCCCAGAGCCATAACTCACATCAAAGTCTACCCTCTCTCCATCGGGGATCTTGGGCGGCACCAAGTTGGGCATGAACAGCCTGTTAGAGGAATAAGGAGTTGATGAGCATCAACCCTGCTCTGGACTCGAGGGACTGTGGGTACCTGGAGCAGGCCGGGCCCTTCTTCCTCACCGCCACCGCCCCAGCCAACCATGGCCGTAATAACAGTGAAGTTAACAGTAAGAGAGCTCACACTTGCTCAGCACCTTGGAATACAGAAAGCTCTCTCACGTCCGTCATTTTATTTTATGCCCACAGTACACCCAGGATGTGGCTATCATTAATCTCACTTTGAGAAAACAGAGGCTCAGAGAGGCGGTGACTTGCTCAAAGCCACCCAACAAGGAAGCAGAGGAGCTGTGACAAGAGGACAGCTTTGCCTGACTCCAAACCCCTGTGGCTGACCCCACAGAATCTCCCCATGAACCCAGGAGTCCTGTGGTTTGGTCCCGGCCCCAACTCATACTTGCTGTGTGACTTCAGGCCCAGGCTCCGGTCCTCAGTTTCCCTGTCTGCCCTCAGGTCTGGGCAGGGTTATGGGGAGGCTGAAATGAGATACTGCAGTGTGCGTGCAAGTGGCTGGGAAAGGTGCTGGACAAATGAATGGAGCTGGGATTGGCTTTGGGCTGGGCTGTGTCTGTTTTCGTAAGGGGCACTGGTGATGTAGCGGTTAAGCACTAGACTGCTAACCAAAAGGTCAGCGATTCAAATCCACCAGCCGCTCCACAGGAGAAAGATGTGGCAGTCTGCTTCTGTAAACTGCTTCCATAAAGATTACAGCCTTGGAAACCCAATGGGGCAGTTCTACTCTGTTCTGTAGGGTTGGTATGGGTCAAATCGAGGCCGACAGATTTGAGTTCGGTCTGGTTTCAGTGGATCTCACTGAAATGGGAATGTGCTGAGGCGCCACCTACTGATGGGTTTAGCATCCTTGTCCCCTAACCCACCCAACACCACCATCTCCAGGTGGGCTTCACGCGTGGTGGCACCAAAGCACCCCGCCCCCTCCTTGTGACTCTCTGAAGAGACCTCTGTGCAGAACACAGCCTATAGAACTGCACGTGGTGGTCTGTGCCTCCTACATCCCCAGCCAGTGCCCACTCCTGCCCCATTCCCACCGTCCTGTCACTGGCCCTCCATACTAGGGCCTCACACGGGTGTGTCCCACTCACCTCGGCTTGGGTTTGGACTCTTCCACTTGGCCATCTGTTGGGGAGAGAAGAACACACCCACAGGTCAGGAGGCCCGTTCTGCCCCCAACTGGCCCCTGAGTGCTTGTGGGCCTCCGTTTCCCATCTGCACAGTGAGTCCTTTCCAGCCCTGGGGTCACATGAGCCCAGGGGCACCAACAAGAATTAAGGAAGCAGGGGTTGCAAGCCCCACACTTGGTCTCCCGTTGCAGCTCCTGGTGGGGTGTCCCCAGTGAGGGCTGAACCCTGGAAGGGAGCACGCACACTCGGTGTGCGGCTTCAAAGCCTTCTAGCATTTACCAGTTCTGAGCGAGGAAACGTTGCTTAGAGCTTCAGGTTCCCGTGGAAAGGTCCCTAGGGATACTGGCCCCAGGGTCCCCTCCCTCGTCTTTGCCTCCTTGGTCACCTCCTGGACTTCTGGTGGCCACAGGGCAAGGAAGAAGATTGGCATGACTGCAAGCCCAAGATAATTGCCCTCACCTCTGGAGGTGTGACCAGGGCCATCTGGAACCCTGGTACAGGCTGCAGCATCACGATGTTGACAGCAACAGTCCACGTGGACCATCTATCACATGCCTTGGGATTTTGTCCTAACAGGCACCGCACACCCTACACATGATTTCACTGAGCACCGGAAGCCTCATGTGTGGACGTGACCTCTGGGTCACACTGCCCCGCCCTGACCAGGGAGCTGGTCATGGGTCCCCTCTCCCTCTGAGCACCATCAAAGCAGCCTCTCTGGGACAAGGGGCAGATGTGTGGAGCCCAACATCCAAAGCACACAGCTACCACCAACCTCTGTCCTTTCTTCTCCCAAGACCCTCTCTTCACCCACCCCCATCTCCCTGGAAGGAGCCCCCACCTCCCCCAAAGCTGCTGTGAAGGGCTCCCTTACCATCTCAAACTCTCTCCTGATGGTCAACAGCCCTTACCCTCAGCGTCTTTATCCTCCTCCTCCTCTTCTTGTCCATCTTCTAAACAAAAAATGAGAAATCTGTCAAGCCTGAGCTCAAGCCCCACTGCCAAGAGACTTTCCCACAAACAGGTCCTAACCAAAGTGCACCCTGCTGGTTAGGGGATCAAGACGCATATCTCTATTCACCACACATGCTCCTGGGCTCAAGACTGCTTGACACAAAAGGAGCACTTAGTAAATATTCATTGACTGAACAGTTGACTCTTCACCCCGGACCAGATCAGGTCTCAGAGACAGGAGGAGCAGAGCCACAGGCTGGAGATACACAAAGCTTGGAATACACAAAGTTCTTTCACATATATCATTTCGTTTTATGCCCACAATACATTCAGGTGGTGGGTATTATTAATCCACAAGTGGGAGAACATGTTCCAGGTGGGCTTCTTACGGCCATAGACATGGTTTGGGGAGCTCTCACCATCCCCCTGGGCACCACGACCCAGTTTCTTACACGCTTACCCCAAACCTTACCTTTTTCGTTGGTCTCCTCAGTCTCATCCTCAGCCTCGGCCTCAGCTTCCCCCTCAGCCTCTTCTTCTGCTACCTCCTCCTGCTCTGGAGAAGTGAACCAGACATGTGAATAACTAGGCCCCCATTTCTTGTACTATCAGGCAGAACTCAGAACAGAGAACAGGTTAGGGGTAATGGGGGCCAGTGATATCCAGGTTCCAGACGAGCTTTGGGACAACTAGTGTGAATAAGGAGCTGCTCCATTCTTGATCTAAACGGAAGGTCGGCAAATTACAGATCAATGGCCAAATCTGGCCCCCAGCCCGTTTCTGTGCATAAAGTTTTATTGGAAGACAGCCCTTCATTTACGTCCTGTCTATGGCTGCTTTTGTGTCACAACAGCAGAGTAGTTGCAACAGAGACCATATGACCCACAAAGCCTAAAATATTTACTATCTACCCCTTTACAGAAAAAGTTTGTTGACTCCTGAACCACAACAGAAGGGCATGAGCGGGCTTGTGAAGAGTCCCTTAGTTCTAAATGTTCGTCTCTGGGAGTTTGGGGATCAGAACTGGGCTTTTCCAAGTATGGAGGTCTTTTCTGTACCTAGAGGCCACTGGGCAGGCCAGGAGTCTGGGGTAGGAGTGAGTTAGGGTGTGGTGGGTGCTGTGGGCAGCACCAGAGAAGGGCGGACCCAGAAAGAGTCGTTGCTTCCAGTGGTAAGTCTGCCCAACATGGTTCCCCTTCGCCTCCACGACCTCGCTGGTTATGTGACATCATCCCAGAATTTCACAGGATGTGCCCTACTTGAGGTGAGGTGTCAGGGAAGCTCCTGCCCCGGTCCCATGGACTCTCCATGTCTACAGACCCTTCATCTGTATCCAAAGAAACCACACCAGTGAGACTGTGCAGGTGGATGAGATGCCCAGCATTTAGATATTTGTTCTTTCCAGAGAGTTGGCAAGATTTTTCTATTTTCATCCATTTCCATGGGAGGTTGTGGACCCCACCACAGTCGGGCACTTGAAGTAGACAGACAGAAGATAAGCTACAGATAAGACAGATAGAACATCGCCAGGCAACTGCTCTGCCTGTAGGAAGTGTTTGATCAATGCCCGTTGACCGATGACTGACTGACTGACTAGAAGTAGCCTCTTGGCAGAGGGAGAGGAAAAACCCTTAGGGTGGAGGGAGAGGCCATCATGTCCCAGGGCCGTGCGGGTGCTCTGGGAGAAACAATGGCCTCCATCATCTGTCCTCTTCCTAGGTCTGAGTCCTCTCTGAGGCCTGGAGGTGCAGCCTTATCTCAAAAAAAAACTTCCAGAAGAATGAGAGTAGAGAACTAGCCAGAAAGGATATGGCTAGTTGTGGGGTCCACCTTCAGGCCATGTTGTTACAGCCTCTCCCCACCCTCTGATGTTCCCATTCTCTGTACGATATGCCCCACTTTGTCCAGTGGTCAGGCAGCATCTGTCTGAACGCTCCCAGGATGGGGAGCTTGCTGCCCTCCAAGGCCGTCCACTGCATCTTCAGACACCACTGTTAGAAAGCTTTTCCTAAAATTAAACCCAAATCTGTCTCCTGAAAGGTCACTCCCTGGCCCTAGTCCTAGCCCTGGAGACTGGGAACAAGTCCAGTCTCCATCACAAGTCAGCAGCTGGTGCACACTTGAAGGCTGTCATCATGTCCCCTCTGCTCTGGCTAACTATTTCCAGTTCTTCCAGCTGCTCTTCAGATGACCTTATCCCCAGACCCCTCGCCTCCTGGCCCCTCTGCCTGTGCACCGTCCAGCTCATAGGGAGGGTCCCAGCACCAAACACCGGTGTGTGCAGTGAGGGCAGAGCAGGGCCACTCATTCCAGACCTGAATCCTCACATTTGCAGCAGGACGGGAGACAAGCCAGCAGGGGTCCCTTTCACTGCCCAACCTAGCCCCCAGGCTAGGACTAGGGCCAGGGCATGATCTTTTGGGAGACAGATTTGGGTTCAATTTTAGGAAGAGCTTTCTAACAGCGGTGTCTGAAGATGAAGCGGGCAGCATTGGGGGACAGTGAGCTCCTCATCATGGGGGCATTCAGGTAGATGCTGCCTGACCACTGGATAGGGTGGGGCATATCGTACAGAGAATGGGAACATCAGAGGGTGGGAAGAAGCTGTAACAAGATGGCCTGAAGGTGGACCCCACAACTGGCCATAACCTTGCTGGCTAGTTCTCTATGCTCATTCTTCTGGAAGGATCTTTTTTGAGGTAAGGCTGCTACAGGGATCTAAGAGGCAGCATCTCCAGGCCTTCAGAGAAGACTCAGACCTAGGAAGAGGACAAATGATGGAGGCCATTGTTTCTCCCAGAGCACCCACATGGCCCTGGGGCATGATGGCCTCTTCTTCCACCAGGGGGAAGAACAAGGACCAAGAAAGAGGAGTTGGTGGCCCTGAAGGAGACACAAGATGAAGAGCTCAGAACTAGGGTCCTGGGCCACCCTCTGAGCCTGGGGAGAAAATGACTGACCCACCCTACACCTGCCCTCCACACACTTCCCCCTCAACACACACACTGGCGCTCAGGACAGCAGGGAGTGGGAAGCACAACAAAAGTAAAAACTGTACTACCGTCATCCTCCTCTCTCCAGTCTTCCTCTTCTGAGGTTCGGGGAGTGGCAGCAGCAAAGGGGAGAAGCAAGACAGGTTAGTCTGGGAGCGGAGAGGCCGGGACCGAGCGGCAGGACAGTGTGGTGGCTTTAAAAGTGTGGGTTTTGGAGTTAGGCCTGAGTTTGAATCCCTGATGGACTACTTTCTAGCAACTTGGGCAACTCACTTCTCTCCATAACTTCCCCGAGTTGTTTCTTCTCAGTAACTGATGAGGTGTTCATCAGTCAAATGGAAATAATTACACTCACTTCTGGGCCGTGGTGAGGATTAAATGATCTAGCATGAATAGAGCATCTGGCACATGCCTGGAAAGCAGGAAGCATTCAGTAAGTTGTAAACGGCAGCTCCCTGCCTCTAGACTACAGAGCCTCAGCTTCCCTCTTACTAAGACCAAATGACTCATAGTAACCCTATAGGACAGAGCAGAACTTCCCCATAGGTTTTCCAAGGAGCGGCTGGTGGATTCAAACTGCCGACCTTTTGGTTAGCAGCCAAACGCTTAACCACTGCACCACCAGGGCTCCAGATGGGGGCCCCAAAAGACAGAGTGGGCAGCAATAGGCATGCATCAAACTTCACCATTTCCTGCCCTGAATTAGCCCTTCCAGTTTCTAGGAGTCACACTTCTGATAGCCCTGCTTGAGAACCTGGCACCAGGAGGATTTGCCTGGCCTGTTGGAAAGAAGCCATCTAAGGAAAGCCCAGCATTATAATGTTATGGAAACGGACTGGGCTGTGTTGTTCTAGATGCAAATAGCTGCCCAGAGAAAGAGGTTACAGCGATCTGTTGTACTTCTCTCCTGGCAGAAAACACGCTCCTAGGATCGCCCATCTATAGGCTTAGTGGACATCTAGCTAGACCCTGCTCTCTTAGTCATTTATAGCCGTGTGGGAGCGGGGTGCAATCCATTAATTGCAAGCAAGGCAGATGCTACTCGGAGCTCGGATTGCCATCACAGTACAGAATTATTTTGTTAATTCATAGCCAAATCCTACTCTGTGTAGCAGGCAGATTGGTTCCAAACCCAGAGGACTAGGTCTCAAATCCCACCCCCAAAACCTCCAGTAATGAGCTGGCAAATCCTTCAAAGCAAAGGAAGACCCACCATATCAAGAATCTGTGCAGGAGGAAAGCTGGTAATAGGGAAACCAAGGTCGAGAAGGGAGAGGGTTGCTTGACACTTTGTGGTATTGGCAACCAATGTCACAAAACAATATGTGTATTAACTGTTTATTGAGAAACTAATTTGCTCTGTAAAACTTCATCTAAAGCACATTAAAAAAAAAAAAGAAGAAGAAGAATCTGTGCAGGGAAAACAGCAGAAACTGGAGCCAGCTTGATTTTTCATTCAAAAATTATTTCAAACAGCTTCGCAAGTGTTTGGTATTCAAACCAAAAGTGACTCCCACAGCTCCTCTCAGTTTTCGCTGTGAGTTTCTCCGATGATGGCTCTTTAGCCAGACACCCCTGGAACAGCCTAAATGTGAGAGAGGCTCCCCATTTTCCTGAGAAGGCACGGGGAGTAAGGGAGAGGCCAGCTACCCAGCGCTCCCCTTCTCCCACCCCTGCCCTGTCCCTGGGCCTTCATGGAAACTCTCTTCCTGATGGCTACACGCCACGTGCTGAAGTGATGTCCCTGAGAACTTCCTGAGCCACTAAGGGACAGGGACCAGTCTGCCCGGGGTGCAGCAGCCTGAGGCATGTGAGGGCCATCCTGGGCCATTTAGGGGTTCGGTGGGGACTGGAGCCAGGCCTCTTCCACACCTCAATATTTCTCACACTGGAGAAGAAGGAAGGGTTAGGATATTCTTTCAGGAAGATATGGGACAAAAAGCTGAAGGGAGAAATGTGTTAATAGATCAAAGAGTAGAAACAGCAAGGATCTGAGGACTGAGGGTCAAAATGGACCTTTTGCAAGGATGATATGATGATAAACCTTCATGCCTATATACAATGTGTCGGATTACTAAGTACTTTCATGCTCATCATGGCATTTGAAAAACTATTAAGGTGAATATTCTTAGGTGTGATAATGGTATTGGAGTTATGTTTTTTTTAATAGTGCTTACAGTGGTGCAGTGCTTAAGTGCTCGGCTGCTAACTTTTGAAAGGTTCGAACCCACAAAAGAAAAGATGTGGTAGTCTGCTTCTTAAAGATTACAGCCTTGGAAACTCTATGAGGCAGTTCTACTCTGTCCTTTAGGGTCACTATGAGTCAGAATCGACTTGATGACAATCGGTTTTTTGGTTTTATCTTTTAGAGATGCATACTGAAATATTTAAGCATGAATGATACGGTGTCTGGGAGTTATTTTGGATGTCTGCTCCAAAATAATGGGGGGGAGCTGGAATAGAAATGAAAGAATTTGGCCATTGGTTGATGATTGTTGAAGCTGCATGATGGCCCCATGGGGGGCTCATTATTCTATTCTTGATACTTTTATACGCATTTAAAACCTCCCATGATAAAAAAAAAAATTGGGGGGTGGGAGGAAGCAAAAATAATTCATTGGAAAAAGTGATGATTCTGTTTTAACTTTTGACAGACAGAAGACACAGGTTTGAACATTTGCCTCAAGTCCTGAGCAACCAAGGTCGGGGTGATTCCCATTTAGGAGTCCCGGTTGTTGGGGAATCTTTTCTCTGCTGAGGGTGAGAGGCAGGGACAGACAAACTGTTTTCCCAGGGCTCCCAGGAATCCCGGATTCCTGGCATTCCTCCCTTCTGGCTGTCCTCTTCCCCAAGGTGCATACCTTCCACAGCTTCTTCTGCTCAGAAGAGAGGGCCCCGGCAGCAGGAAAGGAGAGAAGAGGTGGGTCAGTTTCAAACCACACTGTCCTTGATCCAAATGAGTATACCCATGTGCGCTTACCTTCCTGCTCCCTGCAGTGGGAAAGGAGGTGCCATCAATAGTACACACGACATGTACTCACACCACATACACCACACACCACAGCCCACCCCCACACACACACCGACCTCTCTCTGCAGATTATTTCCCATTTTTATTTCTCTCATTACCTCGTGGAGTTCACACTCCTCTGCCTGCCCTGCAAAGGCACCCACTAACCTGGCCCACCCTTCGGGTCCAGTGCTACCTTGCAGCAGAGGCTGGTCCCAGCCTGGTTGGTCTCATCAGCCTTCTGCTCACTTACTAATCTTCTCTCACCCCTGAGACTGTTCCTAGGCTATACTCCTCTCTAGAAATCCTTTCCCTTTCCCTTCTCTCTCTTTCCAGATCCTACACAGGTAAGACCTGCCTTTTCCACACAGCTTCCCCTGATGATTCCAGCCCCTACTGGTCTCCCTCTGCCAGAGCTCCTGTGCTACAGACAGCCTGCCTTCACGTCAGGGCCTGTTTGCCGGTTCTCGCAGACATTTCATGTCTTCACATCCCAAGAGGAGAGCACGTTCTGTGAGGGCAGGGCCATGCTACACCTCTGTGTTCTCCCTGGTCACCCCCTCTCCCTGTAATTGTTTGGTTGTCTCCTGTGCCCCAACCCTGGCTTCTCTCCAGAGCAGGACCGTGGATGGGTGCTGCCAGGACCATGGATGGGTGCTGTCAGGACCGTGGATGGGTGCTGTCAGGACCGTGGATGGGTGTTGTCAGGGCCCTGGATGGGTGTGGTCAGGACAGTGGATGGGTGTGGTCAGGACTTGTCAGGGACAGTAGGATGTCCAAATGGAGTGATAACACTGAGTTCTCAGTCAGTTTTGTGGGGCATAACCGGCTCTGCAGTCTCAGGAGAGTTACTGCAACTTTCTGAATCCTTTTTCAAGGGGCCTAGCTTCTTGGTTCCTCTGCTAGTGGCCACTCTGCTAGCAGGTAGGAGCCCTGTGGACCCTGGGAGCTCAGTCTATTTACTTCCAAAAGTCCCCCAGCCCGTGGTCTGCCTGGGATCGGGAGCCCCGCGGCCCAGGGATAGGAGCAAAGAGGGTATATTTCTCCTCAGGGTCCTGAAAGCAGGCACAGCCACTTCCCGGAGTCCTGGTGCAGGTGTGAGCGGCGGGTAGGGGAGGAGGACAGCGCTCCCCATACTCACTCTTCGTACTCTTCCACCACGTCTTCTGCGTCAGACATGGTCTCCCTCTCCCTCTAGGAAGAGAAAAATGTCAGTGTGAGCGGAAAGGGAAGTCCATCATCTTCAGCTCTAGGAGAACAGCTCTGACTCACGATTGTAGAGAGCGACCTGCGAGACCTGGGCGTGAATCTAGCCCTGCCCCTTGTCAGCTGTGTGACCTCTAGCGAGTTCACTTCCCCCTGTGTAAAAAGGAGATGGAGTTCCTGGGTGGTGTAAATGGTTAACTCGCTCTGCTGCTAACTGAATGGTTGGAAGTCAAGTCTACCTAGAGATGCCTTGGAAGAAAGACCTAGCAATCTACTTCGGAAAAATCAGCCATTGAAAACCCTACGGAGCACAATTCCACCTTGACACACATGAGCTCGCAGAGTTGACTGGAGAGCAAAAGGGCAACCAGCTCATGTTGGTTTCATTTCTTCCCCCTGAACTGGTTTACTGTCTGGATTTCTAGGTATCAGGTTCAGAACATTGTAACCCTCAAAACAAAGTTTCTAATGTTTCTCAACTTTTCCAGTCTGCAGAAGCCCTGGGAGTGGGGTGGGGGGGTGGGGGGGACAAAGCACTACATGATCTCCCATCCTGCTCCGCATGTTCTGTGCATCACTGCAAAAAGTTCTCCTGGATAAATGGTTAAACAACCCTAACTGTGGTACATCCATTCCATGGAATACTCCTCAGCAATGAAAAGGAGCAAGCTATTGATACCCACAACAACGTGGATAACTTGCCAAGATTCAGGGAATTACGTTGAGTGGAAAAAGCCAATCCCAAAAGGTCACATAATGTATGATTCCATTTATACAACATTCTTGAAATAGCAAAGTTACAGGACTAGAGAAGAGATGAGTTGTTGCTAGGTGTTAAGGCTGAGGGGTATGTGTGGAGGATGGGAAGGAGGTGTGTGGCAATAAAGGAGGAACATGAGGGATCCTTGACGTTTTGGAGGGACTTAGTATGTTGACTGTGGTGATGGACACACAAATCTACACAGGTTAAAAGCGTATACAACTTGATAACTGGATACACACAAGTGTAAGTAAAACTGGGGAAATCTGGATAAAATTATAGATTGCTTCAATGTCAATATTCTGATTGTGATACTGTAATACAGTTTTGCAAAATGTTATCTTTGGGGAAAACTGGGCAAAGTGTACAAGGGATCTCTCTTCATTAAATTTTACAACTGCATGTGAATCTACAATTATCTCAATTAAAATTTAAATTAAAGTTTCGCCGGGAAACTCATTTTGAGCTACTCTGCTCACTGAGACAGGAACAATCTAGATTCCAAGTTGGCTGAGTGTGTTTGGACAAGTCTTTTTAATATCTCTGAACCTCACTTTCTGCTCTGTAATATGAAGTAAGCATACACATCGTGGCTACTCAGGGGTTTTTATGAGGATCAAATGGATGCAAATAATTTTTTGAAACCTGGAGAGCATTCAGCAAATGTCAGCTATTACTGTGCAAGTGTCATTACAGGAAGAGGTGGAAATAGCACATGGGTGTGAGACCAACCTCATTTTGAGTGTATGTGACCTTGGTAAGGTCACTAGACTTCCCTACACTTCAGCTCCCTCATCTGTGAAATGTAGATATTTCACCTCTTCTGTGGTGGCTGTGAGGATTAGAGCTGGTATAAAGAGCCTGGCACTGCACAGCTCCGTGCGGCATCATTCACATGGGTCAAAATGTGTGTGGCACCCCCTAAAGTGGTACGACATAACGGCTCTGCAACCTTCATGATGTTGTAGAGAGCGAAAGGGCAAGGTGATGAAAACAGGGCTAAAGAGTGGGGCTAAACTGAGGCTGGAGTAGGATCAGAAAGGTGGATGTGACCACCCTCAGCAAGGTTTCTCCTTTGCCCCCTACCTCCTGCCCCATTCCGGGTCCTGCCAGCGCTGCAGCCACCAACTTCTGACCCAAGCTGCAGGGTGAGGACAGCAGCACCATAGAGAACATTCTCATGCCCCCTCCCCTTCTCCCTGGTGGGTACATCCCACTAGAGTGTCTGAGAGCAGCCCCCAGGCACCCATCTGTAGACCATCATTGAGAGCCAGTGCTTGGTGGGGTGGAGTGATGTCCACCACAAAGCTGCCCCTTTTGAGGCAGAGGGGTTGCAAGGGAGCTGCAGCTCCTGGCTACCCCCTGGGTAAGGCCTCCTCAGATCCGACACCCACTGCAGCCTTGGCCTTGGGTTGGCTCCCTCTGCTGGAGGGAGGGTGAGGAGAAGTCCTGTTTCCATGGAGCTCTGGGCTAGTGGAGCCACTTTTTGGCCCCACCCAGATAAATGAGAAGGGGAGACGTCAAATATGTAAGGTGTCATGATGGGGGACCAAGGTCTCCTGTTGCTGAAGACAGATCCAAACCCCAGAGGGTTTCCAAATGGGGACGGAGGTCAAAGAGAACAGCCCCCTTACTCCAGGGTGGGTGAAGACTCTTGGGGCAGAACCCCAGGGGGGCAGCCAGAGCTAGTGGACTGAGAACTCGGGGGAACTGCTGCCTGAGCCCCTGGAGGAGCCTGCCACCCCAGGGAGGAGGGAGAGGCTTCTAGGGGAATTGTGCGTGGCCAGCCTGGGCCGTGTGGTCTCAGCTTCCTCAGGCCTCTCCTGCCCTGCCCTCCCACCAGCTCAGGGCCACTGGGTATGGGACTGGGGCTTAGAGGAAGAAACAGCAGCTTGGACCTTCCTCCCTGCTCCTGGGGCCACCACCCAACTCGTAAAATAGCATGCAGACCAGGAGAGGGCTTTCAATGAGAAGGTGCAGCCAAGCCAGTCACTCAAGGCAAGACCCAAGGAAGGGCCAGAAGCTGTGCTGGGGCTGGAGGCTCCAGAATGGCAGATGCTCAAGAACCTGGCCGGCAAGGTATGAGAATGTCCTAAGGCACCTTATCCTCACATCCAAGCCCTGGCTTGCTTCCCAGGGCTGTTTTCTAGCCTACCTCCCTCAGGGTCACCTTTCCTGGGGCACATACACTTATAAAGCAACAACAAGAGAGGGCAGAGAGAATACTGGCCTCGAGGCCAAGAGATCTGGGTTTGAAATCCAGTTTTTGCTATGTGGCCTTAGTTAAGTCACTGAATCTCTCTATATCTATAGATAGATAAAGACCAACACCAAACTATTGCCGTCGAGTCGATTCCAACTCATGACAACCCCAGATGTTACAGATTAGAACTGCTCCACAGGGTTTTCTTGGCTGCAGTCTTTATGAAAGCAGATCTCCAGGCCTTCCTTCAGTGGTGCTGCTGGGTGGGTTCGAACTGCCAAACTTTAGGTTAGTAGTCGAGCACAAACCGTTTGCACTACTCAGGGACTACCTAGCTATAAAACAGGTGAGCTTCAAGCTCCAGTCTTGTAGAAACAGTCTCCGAGCTTCTGAAGAACTCAGGCCCCATCCCTAAGCCCTAGTCTTCAGCATTCATCTGGGACTCCCTCTAAGCCTGCAGTTGTTAGCCCACCAGGAGACCTGGGGACAAGGGAGTGGGGAGTGGGAGTTGGGGGCAGGAGGGAGGGGGAAAGGGCAACACCATCTTCTCAGATTCCTGAGAGAAGGGAGACTTGCCCTGTGAGACATGGGTCAGAGGAGGAATTTGGAAGGTCAGGTGGCTTCCCAGCTGCACTAGGCTGGAGAATGTGCTTTGAAATTCCTCACACTCCAACCACCACCATCTCTAAAATATATCCTCAGCCTGCCCAGGAGGAGCTGAAAAGTCAAGAGAATCTTTCTCTCTACTACTCCCAGGCACAGAGCAAGATCTCTCCCTATGGGGTGGGCTGGGGTGGCTAGGGCAAGGGTCGCACTTGCCGGGACACCTAGGGCAGCTACGTTCAGGGTTAACCCTTTAATGCAAGTGAGCTAGGTTCACACTTTATGAAAGATGTCCCAGTAGGGGCCTTTCCACCATCTGCCTCTCATGCTCTTGCTCTGGGGAAGGGACTGGTGCTGGGTCACAGAGTCAAATGAAATTTAAATGTCAGCTTGGGGAAGCACTACTTCAATGCTGCCTACTTCAATGCTTCCAGAATGGTTCCCAAGTTCCTGGAGATGAGAATTTGATCACAAGCCTTACTCTGCTCTCTGGGGCTCAGAAAGGAAAGGAAAGGTTTAGGTGGCCCTTTGCCTAGAGGAAAGGAATTCAGACCAAGCAATTTGGGGATGTCCCTGCTGGTCAGAGGTTCGTAATATTTAGAAGCCTAGCAAATATCTGGTCCATTCAACAGATAAGGAAATTGAGGTCCAGGGGGAAGAAGTAATTTGCCCTCTTGGGCAGCATCTTTTGCGGCAGATCCAGGACTCAAGCCCAAGTCTCCACTTTCCAGCACAGGGTTCTTTCCTCTCTACGGCACTAATCTTGGTGTCCAATCTCTGTCACATCTTATCTAAAATTAATCTGCTTTCCCACCAAACCACCCAGGCCTTCTCTAGGAGAGAATGTGGACCACTATCAACCCCGATGTCCACTCAGGGTGGACACAGACAAACTCTGGGTAAGGGGCCCTCACATCTTCCCCTCCACTCTCTGCTCTCCCCGTTCCCACAGACAAGTGCCCAAGTCTTACCTCAGAACACGAGCTGCAGGGAGATCCAAGAGGTGTCTGCTCGGCCTGGGTGGGAACTGAACTAGGGCAGGGATGGAGAGGGCTTTAAGCAGGCAGGTGGGCTGGGGCCTCGTGAGTGAGCCCAGTGGTGGGAGGAATGTGCAGCAGGAGACATGGGAGTGTGGCGGCGGGGAGTGGGGGGTGTTGACTGCTATTTTGGCAGGTGCCAGGGACAGGGCTAAAGGAACATGTACCCCATGCCATATAAGCCTATGTGGTTGTCCAGCTGCTCAGATAAGCTATTTAAAGCTGCTCAGATATGCGGGGAACAGGGGAGGGAGCATGTAACACAAACCAGCTGTCCCTCTTGAGAATCCTGATAAAGCAGATGCCAGCGACCCAGGACAGGGAGGGCACCCTGGGAGCAGGGTTGGGAGGCAGAAGGCAACCTCCAAGACTCTTCATGAATCTCTGGGCCAAGGTTCTGGTGGGCAGAGGATAAGGGTTTATCTGCAGCTCCACTTGAATGAACTGTGGGTGAAGATGTCCTCCAGGCCACTGGCTGCTCAAGCTTTGCTTCTGCTGGGTTGGGCAGCCTTGGGCAGGTAGCAAGTTCTGTGGGACTCAGTGATGACATCTGCAAAGTGGGTCTTCTCTGTGACCCCAAAACCATGGGACAAGCCCCTGTCCAAGGGAATAGACTTAAACCACTATCAGTGGTCAGATACAAAGCAGAACTTATAACTGAAAAAGGTGGTTCAATTTGCAGACTGCTGGGTTGTGTGGGGGATAGTGAGGGCTATGGAAGCTTATTCCTCAAGGGCTTTAAAATCAAGTGATACAGGTCCATGATTGTGTAAACTTCTTCTGGTCAGGGCCCAGGGTTTTTGTGGGAGGATGTCTATGGCCCTGTGATGGTTAATTTTATGTGTCAACTTGACTGGGCTATGGTGCCCATTTGTTTGGTCAAACACTAGTCTAGACATTGCTGTGAAGGTTATTTTGTAGATGGGATTAACTTTACAGTTGACTCTAAGTAAGGCAGGTTACCATTGTGAGTGGGTCTCATCCAACCAGTTGAAGGTCTTAGAGTAAAAACTGAGGTTTCCCAAAGAAGGAATTTTGCCTCAAACCTGTAATGTAGAAACTGCCAGAGTTTCCAGCATGCCACCTGCCCTATGGATTTCCAACTTGCCAGCCCCCATGATCATGGGAAATCAATCTCTCTCTGTCTCATACACACACACACACACGTTGTTGTTAGGTGCCATTGAGTCAGTTCCGACTGATAGTGACCATATGTACAAGAGAACAAAACACTGCCCTGGGCTGCACCATCATGATCATTATGTTTGAGCCCATTGTTGCAGCCACTGTGTCAATCCATCTCATTGACGATCTACCTCTCTTTCATTGACCTTCTACTTTACCAAGCATGATATCCTTGTCCAAGGACTGGTCCTTCCTGATAACATGTCCAAAGAACACGAGATGAAGTTTTGCCATCCATCATATATATATATATATATATATATATATCACCACCACCAGCTGCCATCAAGTCAATTCCAACTCATGGCAACCCCACATGTGTCTGAGTAGAACTGTGCTCCAGAGTTTTCAATGGCTAAATTTTCAGAAGTAGGTAGCTAGGACTTTCTTCTGAGGCACCTCTGGGTGGACTTGAACCTCCAACCTTTCATGTAGCAGCTGAGCGTGTTAACTGTTTGCACCACCCAGAGACTCCTATCTCTCCAGATAGATTTCCTATTGGATCTGTTTCTCTGGAGAACCCTAATAGGCCCCAACCCCAGCACACTGTAGGGCTCAAATACATGACAAAAATGAGAGTGAGGGAGCTGAAATGATCTCGGGCATGCATTCATTGCCTTGTTTATTAGCTGCCTCCCTGACTGAAACGATGGCAGGGTCCTCGTGTGTTGGATGCATGAATACAAGGGAGAGACTCTGTCTAGCAGCCTGCCCTCAATGGGCACCCCAGGGACGGCATGTGCAGGCACGAAGGTTCCACCCCCACCAAGACAGCAGTTGCTGGAATAGCCCCAGACATCCAGGAACAAGCCAGCCCCTGGTATCCCTCTAGGGCTCCCTGAGGAAGGCTTCCAGGAGCCCCTCCTGAAGAGAAGTCTGTGTGGGGACAGTTTGCCCTACTGGCTTTCAGAAGAGTTGCTCTGCCAGGGAAACATTTCAAATTCTAGAACATGAGAGATCAAAGGTCCTTAGAGGTCATCTGGTTGAACCCTAGGGCTGGGAGAAGGGCCCTGAGTTTCTGGCAGGGCCAGAGCAGAAGTTCAGGTCTCTGGAGTTTCTGGCCGGTGCCCATCCACACCTCTGCCCCACCTCGGGCTTTGTCCTCAAACTCTTAACTATAGTGGTGGAGTGTTTGCAAAAGCTCTAGCCCTGGTGGGGGGCGGAGGGCACTAGGGCAGGGCCTCCAGGCACAATGCAGGCACGGGGGCCAGCTACAGGAGGCTCACTGGCTAGAGGTGGGCAAGCCTGGGGGCTCCGGGCTGCTTCTAGGGACCAGGGAGGTCTACACAGATGGGGGCTCTTGGGCCTTATGTCCCCTGGACCATGGGATCCAGGACAGGAGTCCTTAGCCTGAATCACAGGGCTGGGGTAAGGCTGGCTGCCCTGGCTGGCTGCTTCTGGCCAACAAGCTTGGGGACCTGGTGATGCCCTTCAGAGCTGTGCTGTCAGATTCCCTGGAGTCCCCCAGGCATTGGAGAGGTGGGAGGGAGGCAGGGCTCTGAACCTACTCCCAACCCTACCTGCTTCTGGGTAAAACCAGAGCAGTCAGTCAGGAATAAGCATTCTAATTAAAAGAAAAAACAAAAGGTTTTTAACTACAGCATTAAAGGGTTTGGACAGGGCATCAGACTGGCTTCTTTAGTTTGGTTTGGCCTAGATTCTCAGGTGCCTCAGCATTCTCCAAGCTCACATGGACCAGGATGTTGGGGGGATGGAAGACTGGACTTGGAGAGAGTGAGGGGCGGTGGCAGCTGACTTGGCACTGTATCTGGAAGTTCGGGCCCCTCAAGTTGCCAAGCCCACTTTAGCATGAGAAGAGGGAGAGTAGGAAACTGACTGCCCACCCAGCCAAGACACAAACCCACCCCTTCACACACAGGATGATTCCCATTAGAAAGCAAAGCCTCCAGGAAGGAGTCTATTTCTAAGGTATCATCAGTCATTTATACCTGAGAGTGAATGAGTTTATCAGATCCTTCCTGAGAACGTGTTTTCCAGAGAGGGCCACGGGGAGCATATAAAGGCACTGGGCTCCTGACCAAGGCAGCAGGTCAGGGAAGCGAGAGGAAGACAAAGCAGGGAGATGGAACACGTGGAAGAGGTACTGCACCTCTTTCACAATCTGGCCTCAGCAGGCTGGGAGCAGGGCCAGCATGGGGGCCTCAGTAAGGGAGAGACATTATAGGCACCTGCTGGGGGCAGATGAAGCAGGTAATCCTAGAGTTCCTGAAAGATGGCCCTACCCTGATCCTCGAGGTGAGCAAGAAGGAGGGGACACCTCTGGACAGGACATTGAGGCCCATAGTGCTGATGTGTGTCAGTGCTGTGCCCTGGGCTGACACTGGGTCCTGGCCTGGCAGCCCCAAGGATAGGCTGTGCCTGCAGTGGGACAAGAAGGTGCCCGGGCAGACCCGCCCCCAGAGGCTGGTGGGAGGGAGCTGGCTGAGTCTCCCCGACATTCCTGGCCCCAGAGGCCCTGGCCAGACAGGTGTAGAGGCAGAAAGGTAGGGAGCAGGGGCAATGAGAGGCAGGGCTGCTGCTGCAGGAGGCAGGGCTGGCATGAGGGCATCCATCTTGGCAGGGCTCGTCACACCTGTAGGAAAAAGGCGTATCAGAACAGGGAAGGGGGTTCCTAGAGCTGGGAGGGGAAGGAGGTCTCCGAACAGGAAGGCATCCCTTTTCTTAAGACCTACACTCAGGCTGGGCCAGACCCAAGGTCTGCTGGTTTGCAGAGCTGTGGGGAAGCAGAGCCAGCTGAGGGATTCAAGCAGGTGTTCTCCATGTTGGGTCAGGCCAGAGAGAGCAGAACAGGACCAGGGGGCATTCTGGGTCACTGAACTGTGTGATTGTCCCAACTACTGTGTGCATGCAGGTGGGTGTGCAAAGTCTCCCAGCGCCACCCCAGCCAACCACAGCCTTCTCCCCCAGGGCCAAGCCTGCCTGCTCCCCTCACCTCAGCATCCAGGGGGGTGTTTGACTTCTTTCTCCACTGGGTCCTTTTGGTGGCAGCCAACTCTTTCTGCACCTCCTGAATGGGAGCACCAGGGTGGACACCAGGTACTAAGTCAGGGCTGTGAAGGGGCTCAGGGTCCCCCAGGCTCCCTTCCCCTGCCTGGGACATTCTCCTTCTTCCTGGAAGGGTGAAGGGCCCCAGGCCCTCTCCTCTCTGCTGCCTTCTGACCCACGGTTCCATCCACATCCCTCCCCATCTCCACTGTCTCCACTCCTGGAATGATGCAATTGTTCTCTGGACCGGACCATTCCACCATTAAAAGGCCCACAGTGAGACATCAGTGAGGGACAAGTTACCTGGGGGTCCTGGTCTCCAGACTCCTGGGTCCTGCTGATCCACAGGTTGAGCCTTGATGTTACAACCCCTGAAAACCTCAAGTTCTCCTAAAAAGAAAGGCTTCCATCTCAGAGTTTGGGGCTGCTAGCAACAGCCAGGGGATTTTCAAAGGCCCTGGAACAGGGATAGGACTCTACCTCTTTCCCATATACATCCAGCACATGCCATATACATCTGGGACAGCCCCCCCCACCCCTTCCCTTAGGGGGTTATAGACACAACAAAGACAACTTGGGCTCAGGAACCATGAGTGGCAACTCAAGTCAATGGCAGGGCCTGCCAATGTCGACTGACATATGAAAATACAGAGTTTTCTACTTTGTCGTGGCCAGGGTTCGGGGTTTGGAGATCTCAGGCATGATCAGCCTGCAGACCCCTGGCTGGACCTGAGCCCCTCACCTTCCGGCTAGAGGCTGGTTCTACTCGACTCTGGTTGGCCAGCTCCTTCTCAAAGAGGTGGCGCTTGCCTGCTACACCCACAGGAGCCACAAAGAACTCTGTGCGGGAGGCGGCTGGAGACTTCACTGATTCTGATCTCTGGGAAGAGAACAAACCAATGAGCTGTGCAAGTGAAGTACACAGGACTCTGCCCACCAGACTCGTCAGGTGTCATCGGTTCCTCTGGAAGAGGCACCCCCCCAACACACACACCTGTATCGCTGTGTGGTATCTCTCCAGCTTCTCTCCTAATTTGGCTGTGCTAGCTGGGAGCCGCATGCTGGCACTGCAGGGAGGGAAGACAGACAAGATAAGCCTGATGAGGACCTCACCCCCAAAGAGACCAGGCCTGCCCCAGAGCCTAAGGAGTAGCGTCCACCTCACCCCAGCATTTTGGCAAAGAGAACATGGCCTCCAGTAGAGCTACTCTGTGATGACTTGGCCAAGGTGAAGATCTACAGACGCCCGTGATTTTCTTCACATCCCATCGGTGGGACATCCTCAGTATGAGACATCCTCCATTCCTCCCTCACTTCCCTTCCCCTCCCACATCCATCACCACAGCCTGTCATTTCTACCTCAAAAGTGTCTCCTACATCTGGCCCTTCATCTTCCCTCCACTACCGTCCCTCCTACCCACTTTCCCTGCCCACCTCCCTGAGCTCTCCTCCCCACTGCCACCAGACTGCATCTACCCAACAAATCCGATCCTGTCCTTCTGGCTCCAACCTCTCAGGCCACAGATCAAACTCCTTGGCACAGCATACAAGGCTCTCATGACCTGGCCCTGCCTCCCTTTCCAAAGGCCATCTTTGGCAGCTACTACTGAGCTCCAAGTCCTTCCTTTTTATTCCTGTCCATGCACCTCCCTGCTGGGTGGCTCTTGCTTATTTGATGGTCTGATTCTTTCCTGAGGCTGTGAGTCTCTGGAGGGCAGCAACTGTGTCTTATTCATCTTTGTACTCCCTGCACCCCATCCCAGGACCTCGGTAAATGTTTAAAGGGCAGATGGATACAGCATGGGTGGATGAAATTCCTTACACATAAGTCCAACTGCTTTTCAGGTCCTATTTCTTTTTTTTCTTTTCAAAGCATAGTCCTTATCAACATGAGGAGACATGGGGGTGCTTGTTAAACCTGCATATTCCCAGGCCCCCCACACCAGGCCTGCTGAAGCAGGACTTCCCCTTCCTTGCACTGTTCACAGCCTCCTTCCTGAAAAGCCCTCCTTTTCCTCCCCACCCCTACATCCCAAGATTAAACCCTCCTCCAGCTTCAGAGCGCTGCCCGAGTCCTGCCTCCTCCAGGAAGCCCTCCCGGATCCCTTCCTGCTCCATCTCATCTGGCCGCAGTCCCTCATGTAATTCCAGTTTGCCTGCCAGATCCAGGGCCCCCAACAAGGATCATGCCTTCCACTCAGGTGCCCTATGGCACAGCCTGACACATGGAGGGCAGGGGGCAGATGCTCAGTAAATGCAGTCTGAACGTGAACAAACTGAAGAGAGCCAGAGCCTCCTCCCGGCCCCTGACCTGCGGGTTAATGTTGTTTCCGAGTTGTCCTTCCTAGGGCTCATCTGAAATGAGAAGGAAAGGCGTTGGTGAGTGGGAGCTCCCGGGAGGCCAGCTGCCCCCCCCCCATGTAAGGGGGACAGCTCTTAGAACACTTCCTCCCTTTCGACCCCTACCCAAAGAAATATGTAGCCAAACTGCTTGTCTGGGAAACACCTGGCCTCTCCTTGGGCTCCCCCAGCCCTTCTCAGGGTACCTGTAACCACCTGTGTTCCTGTCTGCCTCCCCACTGCCCAAAAGCCCTCAGGCAGGGACTGGGCACCAGTCAGCATCAGGCCTCCAGTCTCCTCCCCAGGACCTGGCACACATTAGGGGCACAGCACACAGTCAGCCAAATGAATGAATGAAATGACTCAGTGAACAAAGGAACTAAGAATAAATACTGTAAGAAGGCAAGATGAGATCCCTCCTCAATCCATATAATTTATACGATTGGGGCAGCGGCAGAGCAGAGAGCACAAGGAGAGCCCTGCTGCCCTCTGCCCCTGCCCTTCCCTCCTGGGCAAGCCTCCTGAGTGAGGACAGAAACTGAGAAGGCAGGAGCGGGATTCCCACAGCCCAGCGCTGTCACTGCAGGGCCTCCTCCCTGCAGTTCTGGCCTTCCCCACTAGGTGGGGCTGCTCATGCTTGTTCACACCCACCTTCTGGGTAATTAACCTGTTCTCTTTTATTTAATCCAACCTTTTCTGTTCTCGGAAACCCTGGTGGCACAGTTAGTGGTTAAGAGTTTGGCTACTAACCAAAAAGGTGGGCAGTTTGAATCCACCAGCCGCTCCTTGGAAACATTATGGGGCAGTCCTACTCTGTCCTATAGGGTCACTATGAGTTGGATCGACTTGACGGCAACGGGCTTGGGTTTTTTTGTTTTTTTTTTTTCTGTTGTTGGACACTCGTGAGAATCCAAAGAACCTCTCTGTCAAGAAGAGCTTCCTTATATCTGACCTAAGACCCGTATGCCATAATGGATGCTGATTTCCTTGGCTTGCCTTCCAATGGATTAGAAAGACAAGGTTGCCCTGCCTGGGCTCTCACCCGAAAGGATATGGTCCTGGAGCTGGAGCGTTTGAGGGAGCTGCTGTAGGAGACCTGGGTGGGCGAGGCTGTGTCTGCTTCTTCCTCTTTGCTGGGGATCTTCACCTGGATGGAGCAGGGGGAGCGTCAAACTGGAGGTTTGGGGCCCTACCAGGCCCCATGGCCTGGCTCATCCTAGGAACTACAGGAGGAAGGGTGAGGGAACTTTCACTCCTGCCTCCTGCCCTTTTGTGTCTGCTCTGGGGGTGGGGACACAGTCCTGTGGGGCCAGGCTACCAGGCAGCACTTTCCAGGGGAGCTTCTGGACGGATCCAAGGGTTCCCAAGAGTGTGCTGGGGTTCTGGAGTTCAGGCCCTGAATGCAGATGTAGCACTAGGTACCCGGTACTCTCTGCCACACACCGGATGCCCCTTTCGGCTGCCAGCAGCTACCTCAGCGTCCCCTATTCTGACAGTGGCGGGAAGCAGAAAGGAAGAGAAGAAACTGCTAAGGTCGGCCTGAAGGTAGGAGGTGCACAGGGAGCCAGAGACCACCTGCGCAGGGCTAGAGGGGAGGGCTGGCCAGGGAGAGGGGTTTGAGGGTGGAAGAGACAGGAGGACTGCCAACCTGGAGTGTGAAGGGCGGGAAGCGGGAAGCCGCAGTTGGAGAGCCTGGCTCTCCCTGCTCTCTTGGCTCTGCAGAGGGACAGGGGCTCTTCTCAGGGAGGGCCCTTCTTCTTTGCTCCTTAGTGGTGGGCTGGGCCCCGCTAGGGGCCAGCTGCTCCCGGGCCTGGGGCTGCTCAGAGGCTGCTGCCCTCTTGAGGGTCAGCTTTGTCTCTGCGGTCGGGGTCTTCTCTGAGACCACCATCTTCTCAAAGATGGATGCTTTCTCAGACACCAGTCTCCTTTCCGAGCTTGACGATTTCTGTGGGGTCAACTCCGACACACTTGTTTTTTCTGGAACTGATTTCTTCTCTGAGATGGATCTTTTCTCTGAGACTGTTATCTTCTCTGACACTGAGGTTTTCTCTGGAACGGGCGTCTTCTCTGAGACACTTGTGCTTTCTGGAACCACTCTCCTTTCTGAGATGGATCTTTTCTCCGAGACTCTTGTCTTTTCTGACACTGGTATATTCTCAGGGATGGGCACCTCCTCGGAGATGGATCTTTTCTCTGAGACTGATCTCTTCTCGAATGCTAACGTCTTCTCTGGAATGCAGGTTTTCTCTGAGACTGTGGCCTTCTCTGGATCCAGGACCTTCCCCTCTCCTGGCTCTCTGCCCACCAAGCTCTCCTCATCCCTGGCCCAGGGATATCGCTGCTCGTGGCTCAGTCTCCGGCGAGGCGGGGTGTCCAATTCCTTCTGGGGCGTTGGAGGTTGCTGCCTGGGCTGCCCAGTGCCCAGGCTGTCCCTGCCCTCCTCGGACTTCAGCCTCTCCCGGATGGGAGCCTCTGCAGCCTCCACCACCTGCCGCCTCTGCTGCCGCTCCTGCCGCGTCCTGAGGATGGCCTGGAAGTCCTCATCCTCGTCTCTGGAGGCTTGGGGCAGTGCTGTCGGGGCCTCTGCTTCCTCCACACTCAGCAGTCTGAGTCAAGAGAGTGGGAGATAGAATCAGAGGATATCAGAGGTGGGAGGGACCCTGGGGTGTACCTGACTCAATGGAGATACCTTCAGATTCACCAGGGAGGGGGTGAGGAAGTAGAGCCCTGGATCCCTTTTATCTGCTCTACATATTGGACTTCCAAGATGGTATTTGAACAAAACACTCCATGTGTTTAAAAAATGTTTCTAAGCCTCTGTATGGTCTAATCATTCCATGTTCAGACTCAATTTAAAAAAAAAAAAAAACAAACACTGATTGAGCACTTACTTTTTTCCGTGCCAGACCCTGTGTGGACATTGTGGGGTCAAAGGAATAAGCACAATCTCTGCCCTTTAGAGCTTGGATCGAGATCAGAGAGGTTCAGGGATTTGTCAAAGCTCACACAGCTAATTAGTGGTGTAGCTGAGAGTAAAACCCAATGTACCATCATCCAGCACCTCTGTCAATCATGTGTGTGCAGCCAGGCCTAGGTGAGAGCCAGAGGAATTGGTGCAACCCAGGACTTAGATCCTATTCTCTCAAGGGGACCCAAGGAAACAAGAGCAACATGAGAGGGTTGTCCAAACCCCACAGATTATTTTCCTTCCTCACGACCCTTTTATCCCTCCCTTTACTTCTGCAGAGGAAAGAGAACTAATTGGGAATTTACAGACATGGGGTGTGATTTCAGGCATTTTATCTGTCTGAGCCTCTGTTTCCACATCTGCAAATTGGGCTTGTTAGGGGGATGAAGTGAGACTCATCCCATGACACTGTGCAGCACAGTCCTGGCACGTAGGTGGCATTCAGTAAATTCCAAGCCTTTTGCTTCCTTTCCCTCCTAACCCTAAAGTCTAGATGGCAAGACTAGCCTCCTTCCCCTCAGAAGCTAGTTACGGAGCGGAGCGGAGCGTTAGGGTCAGAATGAGGCAGCCTGGTTTATGCAAACAGTTGAGCTACAGAGCCTGACAGATCTGGATGCAAATCCTGGCCCTGCCACTCTTCAGCCATATGATCTCAGCAAGTCACCTAAGTACCCTCCGACCCAGTTACTCCATCTCTAAAATGGGCAAATAATACCTCTCTCTCAGGGATACTGTGAGGATTTAGTGAGCTATGTCCATAAAATGTCCAGAAAAGTGCAGTTCAAGGTGGGGCTCAACACACAGTAGCAACTGTAATGAAACGGTGGGATCTGGCAGGGCTGAGGAGGGCTCTGGGGAAGTTGAGGAACTGGAATTTCATCTTCCCAGGCTTCAGCCTCATTCCCAGGGCCTCAATACCATGGGCAGGTCAAATGGTTAGGCTTGGTGTATCAGGGCAGCTGAGCCAATCCCCATCACCTGAGACAGGGAAACACCCTCCCCCCAACCCAATCAAAGCACCTCTCCGCAAGGGGCTGGCCTCCGTTCTGGGTGAGCCCAGGAGCCTCGTTGTCGGTGGTGGTGGAGCTCAGGTTGCGTTGCCTCCGCCGGCGCTCCCGCTCCTGCTCCTCCTCGTCCTCTAGAGTTCGCTGCCTGGCCAGGCTGGGGAGGGAGGGACATCAGTGCAGCCCAGGGGAGACCGAGCTTCCCAAGCAGGGCTTCTGTGGGGCTGGGAGAACAGACAAAATGCTCCCTAGGCCAGCTCTATCCAATAACAGCTATTGAGCACCTGAAATGGTTAGTGTGAATTGAGACCTGCCCGCGCAGTGGTTAAGAGCTCGGCTGC